AAAGAAGGGAGGAAAGAAGGGAGCTGCTGCTGCACCAAAGGAAGCCGCACCAAAGGCTGCTGCCACTGAAAAGAAGGAGGAGAAGAAATAAGATGTATTCTAATTCACTACTCGTTCAGTATTATGTTATGAATATTTTACATTATTATTAATTAACTATAAAAAGTAATAAATTATATAACAATTATAACAATGTGCAATTATTATTTCAAACAAAATCATACAAAATTCGAATAATATAAGAATGATCAACACGAACATTGTTTAATAATCAATACTTTTAAAATGATGATAAAGTTCATGTATATATTCGTTTATAACTTTTCATCATAATTCAAATGACAAATTTTTACCATCATAACACGCTGATACATTTTGGTTTTGGTTCGTATTTTATAACTGTGCCGAAAGTTCTTTTAGTACTTCGATAAAAACGAAACTCAAAACTTGATAATATTATTTTTATATTTCAGTAATAAGTAATTTTCTTTGGTATATACAAAGAAATCAATTGTGTTTTACTTTTATAAAATTTAAAGAGTAAACATAGTGCCGATAAGTCATCTTTTGAAACACACATCTTTACCCATTGTATAACCTGGTTTTATTCAAACTGATATCATATAGCGGTCTTGTGCTTTTCAAATGACAAGAATATGTCCCGAAAATAGAATTATAAGACAATCCGATTTTAGAAGTTCAGAACGTTAATTTAAAAGCTTTTAGAAAAGCAAAGTTGAGACTTGCTAAAACGGCAAAAATGAAAGGTGACAAGGTTCGACTTACTCTATTTAGGATATTGCCTTTGGGATTTACCAGACCCCTTTAGCCACCAGGTTGACTTCTAGTGGAATATATCGCTTATCGGAGGCATCGATAGCGACTTTTGACAATTTAAACTATTTGGTGTCTCCTCTGTGTGTGGTTGGTTACAGATTTTTAAGGAAAATAATTATATTCAAACACTAAATATAGTAAACATAATTTTTACAAAGTTATTGATATAAGTCTCCATTTTTACTCGAAAATACTTTCTTTAACATTTTTTATTTAAATATTTACTAATAACCATTTTTAATTACAATTTTTATTCTTCAAAACATACTTATTCAAAACAACAAAAAAACTCATCATATTTTTGTTTATTCAAAAAATTACCTTAAATAATCAAAAAGCATTCAATATTATTTTTTATCATATCACAATGTCTGTATTTTCAAAAAATACAAATTTAATTTTTATTTTTAATAATTTAAGTTATCCATACAATTTTATCATTTTAATTTTTGATAATTATTTTGTGATTTGTTTGCCAAATCAATTTACATTCTAATTTAACAGATTTTGAAAATGTCAATTATAAACTAATAGTGTTATTATTTGAGTGGTACGTGCTTTAAGTAAACAACAAAACCTAACAAAATAAAAGTAACACATTAATAAGATAATACAAAATAATTAAAATATATAATAATGTTTTTGAATATTTTATTATAACGTCGATAAATTACAAAAATGATTATAAATGTAAACAAAAAATTGTGCGTTTTTCTACAAACCCAACCTATTTAATGCCCAAATTAAAAAGTATATCATAATTAACGAAAATGTTGAAAATATAAAAAAAATAAATGTTGTATCAACAATAATTTATTTGGTGGAAACCACACGTTTTTGGCATTAATCAAAGTATTGTATTTAAACTATTCAGTAAATTTATATATAAATACTAAAAATGCAATACAAAAACAATTTATTGATAAGCCAAAATATACAAAGTAATTAACATTTTGGATGCGTGTTTTTATATATTCAAACAACAAAGATATCTACACAATTAAATGTTTGAATAAATTAAGTACAGATATAAACAATTGTTAATACAAATGCCAAAGTTGGATTGGATTTCCAGTTGAATTATGACTGTTAATGACAGTGTTGTTTTTAATATTTATTGTGATTTTTGTGTTGTTTGTTTGAAATATTGTTGAAACAGAAAAAAATCAAATATAAACTATTGTTATTAATTTCATTGTGTGACTATATCAATTTCCACATTTTTCATTCAATAGATTTTCGTTGATGAATACATATAAGCGAGATATTATATACAATTATTTTTTTTGAATTGTCGTTTTATCTTTTTTATATTTAAACCACAACAGTAAACACGTGTATATATACAAAAATACAACAATTATAATAAATTTAAATAAAAGCACCCTTAAACACCATTTTCAATAATTTAACAACAACATTTTGTGTATCATGTTTTCTGTTTATTGCAACACTTTTTTTTAAAAAAACAACCGAAAAATAAAACGTGGTTTCTTTTAATTATGTAAACATGTAACATCATACTAATAATTAAAAATAACACCATAATTAAGAATATCACAGTTTACACCAATTTTGATTTCCAATCCGTGGCTTATGTGACTCGTGTTTACTTGTACACATATATTTAAACCGATTTTCCCGTAGTTTAATGGTTAATTATACTTTTAAAACGTGCTTATAATTGGTTATGTATTTCAATGTTTTTTAATAGTAATTATGTAATATCAACCACAGCTGAAAATATTTCAGGTTAATGTATCAGAAAATAATTTAAAAAACTTGAAAAAATTAGGCATTTTTAGATGTGGTAAACAATTTTTTAAATCATATCAAACAACCTTATGATTAACATTTGACATTTTTTATAAACATTTCAAATCGTTTGAATTTGTTTATTTGAACAAGTATTTTTTGATTATTTAGAAAAATACATATAGTATAGTTTTTTTTGTTGGTGATATCAAAAATAATAAGATTTTTAAATGTTTTTACTGTTGTTTTTATTGATTGTTATTATTTTATTTGAACTGAGAGCGTCGTTTTGAATACATAATGATTGACTATTTAATACAATATTTTTGTTTCGCTGTATTTCCAATTAAAATCATTATTTCAAAAAAAATATTATCTGTTTAATTGAATTTTTTTACCTTTCTAAATTTATAAATTTATTCAATTAATAATTAGAAAATAATTAATTGAATAAAATATCAACAAACTTGTTTTAATTATCATAACTTAAAACTTAAATGGACTTATATTGCTTAGAAACGAGTAAAAGTCAAGACTCAATCTTTTTAATTGTTTTTAAGTGTAAACTAAAACTATTTAATACACGAAACTAAGGTATGGCAAGACTCGATGGATATCACATGATGATCGTATCAAAATATTTCACTTTGTTTGAAGACTTTGTTAAAGTCGAAATGTTAAACAAAAAGTTTTTCAAAAACACCGAAAAGTTCCACTCGAACCCAATTCCATTGACAAATATTAATTTAAAATATTTCGCAAAAGTTGAAACTTTAAATATTTATAATGAGACAGACGACGACTTTGGATATGAGGTATTGACTTCTAACACTACATATCCTCAAAATGTCAGAAATTTGTTTTTTAAAGTGAATGTTTGGTACGAAGTTTCTTATAAGAAGTACGTCGAGTCTTCAAAGGCGTTTCTCGACAAAGTTTCTTTCAAGAACTTAGTGCTTGTCAATTTTAAAGATTTGAACAGTGAAGTTATAAGCCCAAATATTCGAGTGATTGGAGAAAGGTGTTTTAGATATGCGCCAATAACAGACATAGTGATACCACCAACAGTTATTAAATTCAAAAATAATGTTTTTGAGAACGCAACAAGATTAAGTCACATCTCATTTCCACAGACTGTATGGAATATCCCACAATCAATGTGTTTGAATTGCTGCTTGTACTCCTTGAATTTGTCATTTGGGGTGACTAAAATATCATCTTTCGCGTTTACGAACAACAGTCTAAGTATGATCACACTGCCCGAAAGCCTCGAAATAATAGAAGATATGGCATTTGCAAATAATAATTTATTAAAAGATATTACAATACCAAAAAGCGTGAAAGTGTTAAAAGAAAACGCTTTTTATAAATGCAAAAAACTAAAGAAAATGAAAGTTTTTAATAAAGATATCATTGAGAACAATTATGGCATTCTCGACAAGATAAATATAGAAATGTATCAATAAAGATGTTATTTTGTTTATTGTTTTATATTTAAAATGGGTCTCAATTATAAAAATAATTTAATTTTTAGGTTTGACAATGAAATTTTTTACAACACAAATCAATATCAAAACAAGTATAATATTAAAATATTATATCATGTCAATACAATAAATTTAATGGAAATTGTATCTTTGTGATATTTAAGTTTGATAAATTAAAATTATTTAATTTTTAATTTGAAAATGATTATATTATCGTATTGTATATTTCTATTAAATTATAGATTTTAAATTCTTTGTAAAATACAGTTAATTTCGTATAATAATTAATTCATTTTTTGTAAAGTTGTTTTTAAGTGTTATTCTGTTACAAACGAAAAAAACATAAAGTTTAATTCTATATTTAATTTTGAACAATAAAAATAATTATAATAAATTAAGGTAAATTAATTAATAATTGAATTATTACTTTCGACAAAATATCCAAAAACTTAAAAGGTTATTTAAATAAACACCACATTCTTGACGAGAATGAAGATTATAAATGATATTTCATTTATTTGAACGTTTTAATATTAATAACGTGTTTAATATAAATTAATTTTTTAGTACGTTTACATTCACTTACCCTATATATCAACTTAATGACAAATCAAGAATACCTTAAATACATATTAATATATACTTTCAAAAATATTTATTTACTTTATAAACTCGAATAATAAAAGCATAAAACATCAAATGATTTCCATCTTACTTATTGTGCTAGTAGCTCAGGCTGAATATCTTATGACCACCTACGACGAATATATGAATGTCTACCAACTCGATAAATGTTATTATACTGGAAGCAACACGTATACCAAATACAGCAAAGATGGAAAGAAAGTCAGAAGTTATACATCAACCATGTGTGACAATTGGGTTGATCACGGTCCTTATGAGCTTAATAACAATCAATTCTTTGTGAAAAACCTTCCAGAATACTCAGCAGTTGTATATTCATACCTTGATGCAGAACATTGCACCATTAAAGGAAGTGGTCCATATCCAATAGAAATGCTTATAAAACCTGGTTGTGTAAAAACTTCAGAAACATCTTCGTCAAAATCAGAATTTGTAGATGATTGGTTTATTAAAAACATTTACGATGAATCTGAGACATGTACTGGAACACCAACAAATGTTGTGAAAATAGGATTGGGAATATGCGTTACAAATGATAATGGATTATATTACACAATCAGAGACTCTGCTATGACATATTCAATGTTATTTGCAGTGTTATTGGCTTTCATAATATAAATCAAATATGGTTATAACTTTTGTTTAAAAATTTAAAATAATAGACAATATTGAACTTTACCAAAATATTTTTTCATAAATGATACATACAAATTCATATACATTTAATACTATTATATATCTATAAAAATTAATTTTGAAAATGCATTTATATTATGTTAATGAAATTGTATAATTTAGAAATTTGGTCATTTACAAAGTGTTGAATATTGTAATACAAAATATTATATATATATTCTAACATTTTGAGATGTTTAAAATGGTTTTATTTTTAATTGTATTGTATAATTATAATATCATAATTTTATTATAATTAATTATAATAAAATAGACAGTTTTTTATATTAAAATTGTTTATATTTTGTCCTTCATTATTATTATTAAGTGGTAGTTTTTTGGAAATTGTTTTTGATTGTTTTTTTTCTTAAAAATTATTATATTTGGTAAAAACAAATGCAGTCAAAGTAAAAAAGGATGTCTCAATGAAAAAACTTATCATGGACAAAGGAGTTTATTGTTATTTTTTTAATTTCTTTTTGGCTTTTGTAGCTTATACTCATTTTCATGTTTTTAGTAACTTTTTAAAAAACAATATAATTGTACCCGATATGTGTAACTGGGTTGTTGTTTTGTGAAAAAGGTTAAAATTAAATTAAAATTGAATATTTTTATATAGTTTTAGAATGTTAAATAATAATTACTTTTACTATAAAATTTTTATACGACAATTTTTTCCCGACTGTAGCCATTATTTTTAAAAACAATAATTTAATTTATAGTTATTTTTTTACATAGAAATAAAGTTAAAACATAACCAAAAAGAATATAAAAACAATAATTATTTGAATATGCAATACTATTTAAAATGTCACATATTATCACGATTTGTAATATCCCAGATGTTTATTATAATTACATAACAACGATAAGAGAATATACTATCATTAAAAATATAAGGCCCCGTAGCACAGTCGGTAGTGCATCGTACTTATAAAATAGAGTTATGCGAGGGTCGCGGGTTTAATCCCCGCCGGGACCATTTTAATTTATTTTAATCTATAATCATTTTTAAAGTAATTGTGTTATTTTTATATTATAAAATTATTAAAAGTAACAACAAATAACACACTGATGTTTTCAATGAACACCAACACAAAGTCTTTTAGCATCGACTTCTTGTCTTTTAATTTATAATGTTATAAAATAAACAATCTTTTTAATAAGTGCCTTCCTAGCTCAGTCGGTAGAGCGTGCGGCTTTTAACGGTAAGGTTGGGGGTTCTAGCCCCCCGGGGGGCGTTTTTATTATTTGATTGTAAAAACACTGAAATAATTACTATCATATATAATTACATATAGTGAGCATTTGTGGTCTAAGGGCAGAATTCCACACTTCCAAGGTGGAGATCCGGGTTCGAGTCCCGGCAAATGCACTTATTATTTATTTGAAACTTCACTTTATTTTCGATTGTTAAATGATTAACACAATTAAGTTAGTTTTCATCGTTTGTATATGAAATTTTTAGATGAAACAAATTATGGTTATTTTAATCATACTTTCCATTTAATAGAACATATTTTTAAACTTATTTATTTCAGAAAACCATTTTATTGTTATTACTCATAATAATAAAACTATAGATGTAAGATTATTTCATATATGAATTAATTGTATATTCGTTTTGAAACACATAAAATGATAGATATAAATAATTTTTATGGTAAAAATAAAACACATTGATTTATTCAAAAATGAATGTTGTATAATGATAACATATAGATTATATTTATCAAATGATACAGAAATCGAAATATATTCTATATAGCAAATTCAAAAAATATAAAATTATTGTTTTATAATAATTATCAACTAAACAATAAAATTTGTTATAATGTATTTATAGAATTAAATTTTTAAAGGCTAAACTTTTGTACAAGAAAAGTGATTACACAAAAAACTAAAAACGAACAGAAAGTGATTAAGTCGAGGTTTTATCATAATGATTGGAATGTTTAAAATATTTCATTTTTATAAATAAATAACATATACATCATATAACAGTACATAATTTTTATTATTTCGTTTTTTAAAAAATTTACTCTCGTGTTGAATTCATTTGATTGTTGAATTTCAGTCCTTTTAATATTTGACTAACAGTCTCATTGCCGAGTGTAACTTAAGTATAACCGGGTAGCGAGACAACCTTTGTTGCCCTTCCATTATTTTTTTTTAAAAATAATAATAGTACAACATTATTATATGCTACAGTTTCATCCACAACCTGGCTTTTACCAAAATTTAAACGGTTAATGCCGAAGCCCAAAAATGCTTCGGTGTTATTTTATAGAATGTTTCTTCGTTTTTTAAAATACGTTTATATGGGAAAAAGTTAACACCAGCTCCCTGTTTTTTAAAACAAAAACGAGGCAAAAATTAATACGCCCAATTGTGGCTTCATCTATGTCTATATTTTTGTTGATCTCCTTTTCATTGAAAAGTTTTGTAGTATCTGCACAACCTTTGGAATAAAAGTTGATCCACCAATCAGCACAACATCAGCTATTCTCCCTTTGTCCAGTTTGGAGTCTTCAAACACCTTCTCGACAAGTGTTATTGTTGACTTGAAAATGTCGATGTTTTGTTCTTCAAAACGCGCTCTTGTAAATGATGTGTAGAAGTCTATGTTTTCATACATATATTACAACTAATATACTTTAATGTTTGCTGTTGCTACAGATGATAGTGTTCGCTTTGCCCTTTTACGTGATGTTCTTTGTCATCTGACTTCTCTTGCATTACTCTAAATATCTTTTTGAACTTTTTCTTGAACTCAGCAATGTGTTGTTCACTATTCTCTTATCAAAGTCTTTAATACCAATATGCGTGTTGCCGTCTGTTGCCTTAACTTCAAAAACACCATAATCAATTACAATAAGTGACATATCGAATGTTCCAAATTCAAGATCAAAGATCAAGAGGTTCTTTTCTCTGTGTCTTCTTGTCAAGTCCATATGCTATTACTGCTGTAAAATAAATAATGATTCTGAGCACATTGATGCCTACAATAGTGCTCGCGTTCTTTGTTGCCTGTCGCTGTGAGTCATTGAAATAAACCGAAAATGTGATGATTGAGTTGTTGACTTTCTTACCAACAAAAGCCTCTGCTGTATTATTATACTTATTCAGCACCAAAATGCCACACTATGGACATCTAGTGTTAATTTCTTGATATCTTTTTTACTACATTTTTATTTAAGGTTTATTGTTGTTGTCGTTGACGACAATGAATGATCGGTGCTATATATTTTCTTGTATTGTTGGATCACCGAACCTATTCAAATCAATTATTTTGCATCAAATACTTTATTCTTAACATTAATGCTATATGGTGCTTAGTTGCATCATCAATCAGCTATTCAATTTATTGTTATGTAAAGTGAAACATACAATGGTATTGTTCTATTTCCTTGAACTTTTGCGATTTCCTAAAAATGCATTTTGCATGATTTTTAATTATAGAGTTTAAAAAGGGCAGGATATCTTATCCACAACAATTTACCATTATTATTCCAATAAGACTAAGTGTCAATCATTTTACTACCAAGAAAAAATTTTTAAATAAAAACATGCATTAAGCTCTTGTGCTGTTGTCGTGTTCAAACTTGGTACCTTTTCAAGAGAAAGCACAAGCATTTCTAAATATCTATAAAAATTTACAAGTGCATATTATAATGTTGATAATTACAACAAAAAAGCACACGAAAATGTCACACAACCGCCATTTTTTTAAGAAAAGACTAGTTTACTTTTATAATTTTTAAATATTTGGTTATAATATGTTGTTTTTTTATAGAGACCAACCCTACACGAGGGAGACACCACAAAATGTGAGTCGTCAAAAGTAGCTTTCGATGCCTCCGATAAGCGAGATTTTATACAGGAAGTTATACCGGTAACTGGATAGGGTCTGGTAAACCCCAAAGGCAATATACTTGGAAGAGTAAGTCAAGCCTTGTCACCTCGCATTTTCCTGTTCTTGCAAGTCATAACTCTGTGTTTCCAAAGGCTTTGAAAGAAACGCTCTGAACTTAGAGAGTCAGATTGTCCCCCCATTCGATCATCAAAACAGATTCTTGCCATTTGAATAGCACAGGACCACTATTTGACTTTGGTTTTAATAAAACCTGGCAATACCAGGGGCAAAGATGTGGGTTATAAAAGATGATTCCTCGGCGCTATGTAAACTCTTTGAACGTTATAAGAGTAAAACATAATTGATTTCTTTTAGTGTTAAAATATGTTGTTTTTTGAATAGTTTTATTATTTTTGAACATTATCAACAAGAACTCATAATGTACACCTTTTAAGTGTTGATTCAGTTGATATTTACAATTAACACATATTAAAATTATTAGCATTTATCATAAAATTTAAATATAATGTAACATTTTGAAAATATTGTGTAAGGGGAATTAGCACAACTGTAGTGCATTATCAACCAATATCACAGTTTTCAGATAAAAGATGTTGGGTTTTACTCCCATAGTCTCTATTTTTATTTTTTTAAATTGTTAAAATATTTAATAAATATAAATTAACAATTAATAACGATATGTATTAAAAGTATTAACTCAATAATCAGTATTAACTTAACACACCCATTTTTCTATTAATAGAGTAATATAAATAAAAAATATTTAATTAAAATAACAATTTGTGTTGGATAAAGTTTCAATAGGTGATACTTGGTTATTATTGCCATCAAAAACAAAAAATAACATATTTTAATCAGAATCAATTTTTAAACTATAACAGATGGCATTTTCAATTATTCACATTACAAATTACCAACATAACACGATTAACTTTTTAAATATATCAACAACAAAAAAAGATGATATTAATACTAATGTAATTGTTGAATATAATTTCCAATTGAAAATGATTGTTAATGAATTGTGATTTTCTGTTATTGATTGTAACTAATGTGTAATTTGTGT